GAGCCCGGCCTTATCCAGCGTGCTCTGGCCGCACTCCAAGAGATCTTCAGGGGCCTCCTGAGCAGCGAAGTCCTGCGGAACCTTGAGATTCAGCCCACACCAGATGGAGGACGCTGTCTGGCCGAAGAGCATCATTGACTCTTTGCGGGGACCAACCCCGGAGAACTCAATCAGTCCAAGAGAAGACCCACTGGCTTCGGGAGGCGAGCTTGGACGAGCGTCGTCAGAACCCTTGGCAGCTTGGGCATCATCGTCCCGGAGACGGCGGACGTCGGAATTCTGCGGGGGAGAAGCACGAAGATGGGGCCGGGAAGTGGGTTTCCGCTTGAGGGGACTTCCGGGCTCCCCATCGGAGTCATCGGCCACAATGATGGCCTTGGAGGAGGTGCCCTCAGCACGTGGCCTCTTGGAGGCGCCGGCCCCCGAAGCGTCATCAGCTCGTGCCCTGGTCACCCGAGGTTCGACCTTGGGGACGAGCGGCTTCCCAGGCTTGTCATGCCCCTTGTGCTCACGGCCGGCGGCAGTCGAAGCAGCGTTGACTCGGCTCATCGTAGACGTGGAGGGAAAAATTCCTGCACAAAGGGAACCAAGACGTTCAGAGCCATAACAGTGGAGAGAGGTTAAAACAATACAAGTACAAACGGACGCACCTAACCCAGCCCGAGCTTTGAAAGGCTCGGCCACCAGCAACCGGAGGTTCTGGATGCCAAGTCCGGCTATGCGCTTGGCATATCCGAGCTCCTCGTCCGTCATGGGCGGCGGGATCGTCTTCACCGGGTAAGCATTCCACCGGTCAGAGAATGGCATCGGTGAGCCTACTCCGGCCAGGAAGAAGCGCTCTTCCCAACCATCCGGATTCCCAGCATTGTTTGAGAATAGGACCATGGACGGACGGGCGATCAGGGTCAGATACCCCGTGCGTCCGAAGGGGGACAGCCGGAAGAAATGGTGCAGCAGGTCCACGGTGGGGGTCACACCGACGCTGTGGCATCTAATAATGAAGCCAGCGATTATCCGATAGGCGGCAGGGACGAACTGCGCAGGCACTATCTCAAGGGCCCTGAAGAGCTCTAAGTGAAAGCTATGCAAGGGAAAGTTCAGCCCGGCTATCACCGAATCCAAATGGACCACCACATAGCCGGGCAGATGGCGCATGGGGTTGCGCAGACGCCGATCGTCGTAGGTCCTTGGAGGATAGAACCATTGGCTGATCAGACGCTTGTCAGCATTCGTCAGGCGTTGGACTTGACGCCGAACGTACGAAAAGCTGAGGCTATAACGGGGAGGCCAGGGCGGCATTCCCCGCTCATAATATTCCAAGTCTTCACCAGAAGAACAACCATCGTCGAGGCGATTTTCGGAGGACATGGCAACGAACGGTACCTTTTGCTTGGGCACTGGGGATAAATCCGGTTCGTAGAAGTTGCTAGAGAGAGAATATATTTCCGCAGCGTATGGGCTAAATGAATCGACGATGACTGATCTCGTGGTATTTGGGCACTTATAAGCGAAATGCCGTAGATCGACACCAACCGCAGGCTGGCACGTGTCCAAATAACACCGGCATAGCAATAACTTTGGAAGGCACCTCGAGCCCCGCGCTTTTGGGGAAGCCAAGAGGCCGCTGACGGATCTTAGAATTCGGGTCTGACGACGGACGTCGACCATAGAACCCGGGATCCCCACAAATTGGGAGGGCAACACCAGACGAACATCGTCGGACACAGTGCCCCGTCCTTCAAGGCAACTCGTACAAATAGCGACGCCTTATTAGTCTTGTAAATCGGCTATCTAAGGTGGCAAGGGCAGGATTAGCTCGAAGGCATACGGCCGAAGGACCCGGGTGCCCAAGGTGCGAGAGGCCTGGCTAGGCAACGGGCGTCTAAGCCAGGAGATGACGACGCCCGGCGGCAAAAAACTACGGGTACGCTACGCGTTATCTGGCCACGTACGGCGTGAGTACATTGAAAGAATAAGGTACGAACACGGCATAAAGACGAACTTTGGCAAAACATGGATTTTTATTCTTCAGCACTATCGGCTGGAAAGTACAAGTCTACACGCTACAGTCGGAAGGAAGGCTAGACTAAAATATAAATCAGCACATATGGGGGGACGATGGCCGGCTCCCGGCATGAGTGTGCTCTTCCACCTGAGGCTCGGGCTCAGGGGTTGGGGGTTCCGGGATATCCCCCATGGCTATGGCCGCCGCTCGGCGCCTATCCCGCCTTATTTTCCCCAGGGCTTCGATCAGCAGGTCCTCTTCCGTATGATCGGCCGGGTTGACGTCAGGGCCCAGAAGCTTCTCAAAGATGGGGAGAAAGGCTTTGACCCCTTCGCTATAGCCACCGGCGAAGGCGCTATCAGCAGAATCATAAAGGAATTGGCGCGCTAAGGGGGAGCTTCCCATTAGCCGCACGCCGTATTTCAGACGATCCTTCGCCGGGACCTTCTCCAGGGCATGAGAGAACACGTCTCCAAAGGCCCCAGCGCAGAAATCCTTGGCCGAGTCCATGAACTCGCCAGTATTCCGGTAGCCGGAGGTATCAACGCACCATTCCGGGATAGCACCCTTGGGGGCCGGAAGCACCGGCATAAGCTTGAAGCCGGCCTTCTCCAGGCAGGCCAGTTGGGCGCCAGTTTCAGCCTGAAGGGACCGAAGCTCCTCCCTGGCTGAGGCAGCCTCTTCTTCTGCCCGACGGGCGACCTCCCGAGCCTTCAATATGGCGGCATCAGCCTTGCTCCTCGCCTCCTGCAGGGCGGCCTCCCTGGCAGCCTCGGCTTGCAGCACCAACAGCCCTGACTGTAAGGAATGGGATGAACGGAAGTTAGATGACGAAACGACGGGCGTCAGGGAGACAAGGTGAGTCGAATCGCGACAATACCTGGATGGCCGCTGCCAGAGCGGCGCTGGTCGCTTCAGAAGACGACCGGGGGGCCAGTTCGAGGCCGGCCTTGGCCCCAAGCTCCCTCCAAAGCTCTTCCGCCGGCCGGCTCAGGGAGAGGCCGTTGGCATCTTCAACAACGGGGCCGGAGGAAGAGCAGTCTCGCCCCCTCTTCGGCTTCTTTTCTGGGGCCCTCTCGCCCCCTTTCTTGGGAACCACCTTCGTTGTGACGACCGGCGGGGGGGAGAGCAGATTCAGCATGGTGAGGTATGGCCCCCTCATTCAGGAGGGTGGCAATCAGATGCTGCTCACCATCTGCAGTCCGACGGGCGGCGTCAGAGGCAGACGATCCGGCACCATGGGCGGCGGCCTCCCTGGCCGCTTTGGCCGCAGCCATCTTCGCCTTCCTGTTCCTCAGGCACTCGGCGTTGTCCATCTGGTCGGCGGTAAGAGGAAGACCTGCAAGAGAGAAATACAAGAATGTGAAAAGACGAACAGGGATAGGGAGGAACACCCACCTCAGAGGACAGGACCGCCCGTGCCCCGAGACGAGCGTCCAAGGGGGGAAGGAATCCAGGAACACGGGCGGTACCTATGCCTGCTTCAGAGAGTGCCTCGGGGGTCAGGTATTCTCCTATGGGGCGAATGCCGCCTTCCAGGACTTTGTTAACTTCCGCCTCCAGCTCGTCCGTCAGCACCGGCGACTCGATCTTCGGGGGGTAACCGTTCCAGCGGATCGGGAGGGGAGGACCATCATATCTAAGGAAGAAGAGCCTATTTTTCCAATCATGGATGGAGGAAGGATAGTGCTCGAACAGCTTCCTCTTCGGACGAGCGGCCACACTCAGATAACCGTCGGAATTCTGCGGGGTGACCCGGTAAAAGTAGTGAAACAGATCCAGGGATATGCCGGCTTCCGCGGACGAGCAGCGCACGAGGAATGCGGAGATAAACCTATAAGAGTTGGGCATGAACTGCGCCGGGACCGCCTGGTAGCAGTTGAAGAACTCCACGTAAAAAGGGTGGAGGGGAAACCGCAGACCGGCCTCTACGGAGTCCACATGCAGGATGATCATCCCCGGCCGTCGCCGCATGGCATGTTCAGCCCCGCTATGGCTAAAGACGAACGGATGGGGGAAGAAGGAAGCAATCTTGTTCATGGCGACGCTAGAGAGGGATTGCCTGTGCTCTAAAACACTCTTAATCTTGCAGATGTGCCTCTGCACGTCCATGGGGATACCTAAATCGTGCACCTCCAGATCAGAGCCAGATTGAGCCTCATCCGCGGAATCGTACCCGGCCGCACGTTCATTCAGAGGCACTGCCTCAATGGCACCCTCGGAAATGTCGGCGCCTTGCTCACTGTCGACGTGGATAGACCCTACGGTGGACGCCGAACCTGGGTTGCCGGAAATGCTGGTTTTTCCGGAGGAACGGGAGCCAGAATTGGAGGAAGAATCAGAGTCGGAGCCCGAAGAACCAGAACTCGAACTTGAAGAGATCTCCATCGAAGTCATCACTAAAAGAAAGGGCGAGGATGAAGAGGAATAATTACCTTAAAAAACTTGAAGATGGACTTGGGAAGCTGTGATGAAAAACCCGAAGAGCGGCAAGAGAACTCGAAAGCAAAAGCCAGAAATCGGAAACCCTAGACATCAGGGGATTTCTGGTATTTATAGTGGAGGCACCCCCGGGGGGACGAATGAAGAAGCGACACGTGGCGAGGAGCGTACCCTGGCGGGAATCCAACCTGGGGGAGCGATACGCGTAATGATGACTTCCCATCGGGAGTCGCACCGTTCCGCCGCCAGCCGCCACCTCGATTCACCCGCGGTCGCCCAACTCGGGGTGCCCTTCGATCAGGTACGTCCAGTTCCCCGTGGACAAGTACGGAAGACGGGCATCCTCCAGGAGGCACAGCATACTTCCTTATGTCCCACGCACGCTTGGAACATCAGAAGTGGGGGACTTGTGTTGGGTAAATGGCCCCGAGCAGGGGTCCGGCCCAATTACCCCCAAACCGACGTACGTCGCCCAGCCCACGGATGGCCCTGGCCTGAAGGAATGAGGACGAATGTCTATCTCCGGGACAACAGCACAAGGTCTCGGCCGAGGGTCGGTTAGCACATCCATGACGAACGTCGTCAGCCGAGGCCCATCTCCGTAGATGGCCCAGGCCCAAAAGATTGTTACGTTCTCAGGAAGGGCCGCAGACGAACGGCCCCCGGTTCTACCAGACGATCGTGGTCAGGAATTAGGCGGGGAACCCAGATTCTGGCGGGAAGCGCATTTAATGCTGGAGATTTGGTGGTTGGGCCACAGCCACTAACAATCCTCCACATCATCAGGACTAACTGCCCATTGGCGGGTATAAATAGTAGCATTTATTTCATTGTAGAGGCGAGGAGCAAGGCTGATGCCGCCATATTGAAGGCTCGGGAGGTCGCCCGTCGGGCAGAAGAAGAGGCTGCCTCAGCCAGGGAGGAGCTTCGGTCCCTTCAGGCTGAAACTGGCGCCCAACTGGCCTGCCTGGAGAAGGCCGGCTTCAAGCTTATGCCGGTGCTTCCGGCCCCCAAGGGTGCTATCCCGGAATGGTGCGTTGATACCTCCGGCTACCGGAATACTGGCGAGTTCATGGACTCGGCCAAGGATTTCTGCGCTGGGGCCTTTGGAGACGTGTTCTCTCATGCCCTGGAGAAGGTCCCGGCGAAGGATCGTCTGAAATACGGCGTGCGGCTAATGGGAAGCTCCCCCTTAGCGCGCCAATTCCTTTATGATTCTGCTGATAGCGCCTTCGCCGGTGGCTATAGCGAAGGGGTCAAAGCCTTTCTCCCCATCTTTGAGAAGCTTCTGGGCCCTGACGTCAACCCGGCCGATCATACGGAAGAGGACCTGCTGATCGAAGCCCTGGGGAAAATAAGGCGGGATAGGCGCCGAGCGGCGGCCATAGCCATGGGGGATATCCCGGAACCCCCAACCCCTGAGCCCGAGCCTCAGGTGGAAGAGCACACTCATGCCGGGAGCCGGCCATCGTCCCCCCATATGTGCTGATTTATATTTTAGTCTAGCCTTCCTTCCGACTGTAGCGTGTAGACTTGTACTTTCCAGCCGATAGTGCTGAAGAATAAAAATCCATGTTTTGCCAAAGTTCGTCTTTATGCCGTGTTCGTACCTTATTCTTTCAATGTACTCACGCCGTACGTAGCCAGATAACGCGTAGCGTACCCGTAGTTTTTTGCCGCCGGGCGTCGTCATCTCCTGGCTTAGACGCCCGTTGCCTGGCCAGGCCTCTCGCACCTTGGGCACCCGGGTCCTTCGGCCGTATGCCTTCGAGCTAATCCTGCCCTTTCCACCTTAGATAGCCGATTTACAAGACTAATAAGGCGTCGCTATTTGTACGAGTTGCCTTGAAGGACGGGGCACTGTGTCCGACGATGTTCGTCTGGTGTTGCCCTCCCAATTTGTGGGGATCCCGGGTTCTATGGTCGACGTCCGTCGTCAGACCCGAATTCTAAGATCCGTCAGCGGCCTCTTGGCTTCCCCAAAAGCGCGGGGCTCGAGGTGCCTTCCAAAGTTATTGCTATGCCGGTGTTATTTGGACACGTGCCAGCCTGCGGTTGGTGTCGATCTACGGCATTTCGCTTATAAGTGCCCAAATACCACGAGATCAGTCATCGTCGATTCATTTAGCCCATACGCTGCGGAAATATATTCTCTCTCTAGCAACTTCTACGAGCCGTGCTCTAAAATGCAAGGTAAGGAAATTGACCCGAGTGACATGAATTGTATGGTGATGTGATAGAGCGAATGTCACGCCCCGGACCTCCCCGGACACGTCAACAACCCGCCGTACAATACGAATAGTCAACCGCAATCCAACACATTCATATTATACAAGGCGTCATGAATATCATTCACACATAAGTCATCCATAAACATACATAATAAACAATTGAATACGCAGCGGAAAACATTGTTTAAAACAAAAGGGCCACACAGGGCAAACACGAGCACGCAGGCTCTAAAGTAAAATATCCATGAGCATGTTTATTAATGTTCTAAAACAGAATGGAGGAAGCACGAACCAAGTCTTCTCTCCGGGGAAATCACTCGGGCAACGAGCACAGGAAGCAAGCTCTAGCCTCAACCTGAAATGGTGGTGGGACGCCCCCGAAGGGGTCAGTACTCTATACGGCTATAAAGTACTGGTGTGGCAGGCATCTAATAGATATACAACAAGTATTTCAAACACAAGACCCTCAAGTAGGGTGATAGTACATTATGATTGTAACCCTAAGTTACCCCGTTTAAAAATATACTTACTTTATATAAAAGTCAAGTAGTCGGCCCGTGGGCCCATTTTCATTTGGAAATCACTATTCCCAACCCCGTGGCTATAAGCCACGACAACTCCTAGAGTCCAACCCTAGTGCATGACATTGTATTCTAGAGCTCGGCTCTACTACATCACCATACAATTCATATATCCCGGGTCAATTTCCTTACCTTGCGTTCTAGAGCTCGGCTCTATTACATCACCACGCAAGTCCTAGAGCTCGGCTCTAGCTATACAATACATAGACTCCAAGTCTACACCTTACATGCATTCTAGAGCTCGGCTCTATTACATCACCATGCATTAAGGTCCAATTCTCAAGCAACCCTATGCCTAGAATTGACATACCATTAAACTACTTTGGGTCATCCTTAAAGACTTCCCATAACTTAACCTTAGTTCCAAACTAAGTTATTATATACACTTGAACTATATTCAAGTACCTTTCATACAATCCAATCCCTAGGATCAATTTAATCAACAAGTTCCAATAATCACTAACTAGTATTTCAATACTATTAAGATTATTGTTATCATACCATTATCCTCATTATTTGTAATTCTCTACATATTTATAATTATGTAGCAGCAACTTAAGTATTCAATCTCAATACACAAATATTCATTTATGTATCCACATAATTCATACATGAGCAAAATGCCCATTTTCACAAAATAGTTCATTTATACTCATTTAATCTCATATTATTCATACCTTCTCAAATCATTTCAAATTTCATTCCTTGGCAACTATATCAATATTTCATCAATATATAATCATCATAATCCATGAAAAATCATGATTTAAGCATTTAGGTAATCTCATGCTTAACCTACAAGTTGTAAGCAATTAGATGTCGATCCTCACCTTAATTGAGCTTTAAACTTTTCCTTCTTGATCCAATGGTCAAGGCTTTGGTCAAGGTTGATTTAGAACTGATTCCTTGCTTAGAAATGAGTGTTAAACAGCCTCCTCCAGCTGCCAGCTCCACTCCTAACCGAATGACACGAAAACAGTCCCTAGAACGGGTGTTTTCCGGTTAACTCGTTTCCTAGTTTTCCAAGATTTGCTCTAGGTTAGTATCTAACCTTTACATCAATAAAATAACTTCATAAGGACATATTATACACTTCTAGTAGTGTATAATAGTCCCACCAATCGTTCATATCATTTGGAAAATGAAAAGGAAGGTTTTGGATTCAAACTTACTTTGAATACAAAACTGTGTTCTGCGAGGTTGCGTTTTGTTCGGACAATCTGGAAGCCTTCCACTACTCCGATTGATGCAAACCAGACCTCCACGGATTCCTCGTCTTGAGAGCTTTCTTTTGGTACCTTATACGCCTTAATTGGACGAGTAAATCTCAAGTTATGGCTCGAACAGTAAGAGCTTCGCACTAAAGAAAGAACCTGCGGACTGCTCTCCTCCTTCCTTCCCTTTTGAGTTGTGTGGATACCTTTGCTCTCTTATCTCTTTTGGGGGGTCGAATGGGGGGTTGTGGGAGTATACAAGAGCTCTCAATCATGTTACCAAGGCATGTGGAGTGGTTCCCAATTGATCCCAATCATTTTGGGGTCCAAAATATCTACCAATACTTCCAAAAAAAAATGGGAAGATGGGTCCTATTGTTTTATCTTTTGTCAAAAGATGTCTTTTTGTACTCATCCTAATTTATTTAGAACAAGTCAACTTCCTACATCACATTATTGGTCTCCAATATGTGTAGGCTCATCTCAATAATTTACTTGATGGATATTATAGGAGGAAAATCCTACTCCCATTATTTAGCTCAATAATGCCAAAGATGGGGTTATAGGCATTTGTATTCTCCTTTAATCATTCTATCACTTATTTGACATTTGTCATACATATTATTGGACTACTTGCCGTGTGGGTCACTCCCGAGTGGATCCAGGACGCCATTCTCGAATACTTGCTATTTTTAGCAGGTTGGGCCCAAAATGAGTATTCGCCAGCCCGATACTAATATACGAGTTCGAACAGTATAATAATCGGTCATTAATTACGTAAAACATTAATCGTTTAACAAATGTTTGGAAATCAGAAATCCAATACATAAACTTTGAATTTTAAATCAAATTTTCAAGGACCTTCGGGAGCGGTGTCACAAGTTCACCCCCCCTTAACAGGGATTTCGTCCCCGAAATTCACAGCTCTACTCAAATAGGAATGCATACTGCTTCCTCATCAAAGCTTCTGTTTCCCAAGTCTCTTCTTCGACCCGGTCACTTTTCCAAAGGACTTTAACCATTGGAACTTCTCTACTCCTCAGTTTCTTCACTTTTCTGTCAATAACTCTTACCGGTTGTACGGCATAGTTCAAATCTTCACGTACCTCCACGGGCGGCTTCTCCAACACATGAGAAGGATCATGCACATACTTCTTAAGCATGGATACATGAAACACATTATGTATCTTCTCTAACTCAGGAGTCAACTGTAGACGATATGCAACGGCTCCAATCCTCTCTATAATCCTAAATGGACCTATATATCGTGGGTTAAGTTTTCCTCGGGTTTGGAACCGAATGATCCCTTTCCAAGGAGAAACTTTCAAGAATACCTCGTCATCAACCTTAAACTCTAAGGTTCTTCGACGCTTATCTGCATAACTCTTTTGTCTATCCTGAGCCGCTTTGAGTCCCTCTCGAATCAACTTCACCTTTGATTTGGTGACCTCAACCAACTCAGTACCCTCGAGTTTGGCCATGCCAACCTCGTCCCAACATAATGGTGTACGGCACCTCCTCCCATACAATGCCTCGTATGGAGGCATGCCGATGCTTGCCTGATAGCTGTTGTTATAGGCAAACTCCACAAGTGCTAAGTGGTTGTCCCAACTTCCCTGGAACTCCAATGCACAAGCCCTCAGCATGTCTTCTAGGATCTGTATGACTCTTTCAGACTGCCCATCCGTCTGTGGGTGGAAAGCAGTACTGAACTTCAACCTCGTTCCCATAGACTCCTGAAATTTTGGCCAAAAACGTGATGTGAATCGTGGGTCTCTGTCAGATACAATGGTCACTGGGACCCCATGCAGCCTCACGATCTCATCCGTATACAATTTGGCTAACCTCTCAAGTGGGTAAGTAGTGTTGATAGGCAAGAAGTGTGCACTCTTTGTGAGCCTATCTACGACAACCCAAACTGCATCATAGTTCCTGATTGTCCGTGGCAACCCTACCACAAAATCCATAGTCACGTGTTCCCACTTCCATTCAGGAATGGAAAGTGGTTGCAATAAGCCTGCTGGGTGCTGATGTTCTGCCTTAACTTGTTGACAAGTAAGGCACCGACTGATGTACTCGGCTATTTCCCTCTTCATTCCAGACCACCAGTAACTTTCCTTCAAATCACGGTACATTTTCGTGCCCCCCGGGTGCATGGCATAAGCCGATGAATGAGCCTCCTCTAAGATGGACTTTCGGAGCTCATCATCTGACGGTACACACACTCGGTCACGAAATAACAAGAGACCATCATCTCTTTCCCTGAAATCCTCCACCGGCCCCGCTTGCATGCGTTCCCGGACCTTCATAAGTTCTTCGTCGGCTTCCTGACCCTTCTTGATCTCATCAAGTAAAGTGGGTCTCACCTCAAATCGTGCCAATAAGGCACCATCGCTGGTTACCTCCAGTTGGGCTCTTAATGCCCTCAAATTAGTTATCAATGCCCCAGACGAGCTCTTCCGGCTCAAAGCATCTGCCACCACGTTTGCCTTGCCTGGGTGATACTCTATCACTAGATGGTAGTCTTTTATCAGCTCCATCCACCGTCTCTGTCTCATGTTTAGCTCTTTCTGAGTAAACACGTACTTCAAGCTCTTG